TGTGTGTGTGTGTGTGTGTGTGTGTGTGTGTGTGTGTGTGTGTGTGTAAAAGTCTCCAGACTCCTGTGCACCCTGCTGCGACCATGCCCCCTCCCCTCCTCCAGAGTGACTCCGGATCAACGCCGGGGAGCTGAGATTGGAATCTGCCCCGTGCGTGAGGCTGATGAAGGGGGCCTGCCGCCCAAGTGCGAGGGGAGCGCTGCCCCCATTGGATCTAGGAGTGTTTCACGCTCACTTTGCACCGGGGTCAAACTGCATGGCGAGCCGGGCCGGGGGGGTTATCAGCCCCTAAATGTCTGGGGGGAAGCTGGGGCCAGATTCTGCGTGGACCTGGCAGACTGGAGTGACTGCGCGCTGCAGGGAGAGAAACTGTTTTCCTTCTCCTGGCACACACGCTGCAAGCCATTGTTCGGCTGGCCGGGAGCATGGACCAGAGCAGGTCTCCGAGGACTGGAACGCGACATGAATAATTTCGGATTGTTAATTATGATGCCAAACTCCGGTCCCTTTTGGAGCAAAACTCCCATTGGACTCAACAGCGTGTTTTCGCTAGATTGAGGACCCAGAGTTGGGCCTGTGGAGTATTGAACCCAGCCCCGGTGCCGAGCCAAGTTCTGCAGGGGGATTACAACAGGGACATGCTTGGCCCACTCTTTATTCTGTGTCATTGCCAATTGCAGATTATGGGCTTGATGCCCGGCGGGTGTTAATCAGCCTTGCTCCACTGAGCCGAGGGAGCTGGGTTGATCCCATGAGCTGAGGATCCGACCCTGAATTCTTTGCGGCGGGGCAGGGGCTGGGGGAGCCGGTGGAAGGGGAGACCGGGCTCCTGCCCTGGGATAAGTGTTTGGCTGGGGCAAGCGAGGACAGAGTCCGCCGCGGAGGCGCTTTGGATTCCTGTACCCAGCGGGCGTGGCTGGACGGTCACGAGGCCAGGAATCCCCCACTCCCGTGACCTGGGAAAGCAAACCAGGACTCGGCAGAGTGGTGCAAAGTCGTGGGCCTCGCTCGGACCCCAGTGCAGCCGAGGGGCAGAGTGCAGAGATGAGGGGGCTCCTGGGGGTGTGCAGTATTCAGCCAGGTGCGCGGTAATCGAGAGAGAGAGAGAGAGACCGTTGGCACCTGCGGCGAAGGGCTGCTGGGAGCAGTGGGCTGGGTGGGGATATTTTCCTGGGTCCCTGCAGAACCAGCCCTGGCCGAGCTCCTCCTGCCCTGGGAAAGGTGCCTCGTTAGCACCACGTGGTTCTCTGGAAAGTGCTTCCCCGTCGCTCCAGCCCTCCACTGCGCCTGGGGCCGGGAGCGAACCGAACCTGGGACTTTCCAAAGCCAAGGTGACGCTGTGACCGTCGCTCGCCCGGCGCAGGGCAAAGAGCAGCAGCTGGGTGCAGCCCCCCTCGGGCCGCAACGCAGACCGCCTGGCCCTGTCCAGCCAAAACAGCCTGCGCCTCGCCAAGGGGCTTCCAGGGCTGAGCTCACCCACTTGGGCTGTGGGTCTCGCACGCTGCTTTGCCGTGAGTGTGCCCCAGGGGCGCAGCGTGACAGGGGTGTTTGCTGTTTCAGGGGCCGCGCAGGGCTCGTTTGAGGTGAGCGTTTCGCCGGAAGCTGCCATGGTGGAGCACGGAGGGTCCGTCTGGATAAACTGCAGCACCACGTGCCGGGATCCTGGTGCTAAGGGCGGTGTGGAGACCTCGCTCACCAAAACCAATACTAAAAGTGGAGCCGGGTGGGAGGCCGTTCTCCTAACCAATATCAAGGAGTGGGTGTCGTCCCCTCAGTGCTACTTCATCTGCTATGGAAATACGACGGCGGTGGCGTATGCAAACATCTCCGCTTACCGTAAGTGCTGCAGGCTCCCAGCTGCAGTGGGTCTGGGGGGGCTTTGTGCCACTGACACTTTCTGGTGCAGGGTAGAGCTAGAGAAAGGG